TCAACATCAAAGCGAGCTGGCTCCATATAACACGCGCTGGTAACTCACGGAGACCGTGTTTAAATCGGCGGTGGCGGCGGTGTAGGAGGTGAAAACACGAAAATTTGTGAATAAACCACCGGGAGAATCTACGAAAACTTTTTCGGTTGGCGAACGCGGACGATAAATCGATAATATGTTATTGTTATTATTATAATAAAGCACCTATCATTATTTATAGGTATTACGTATATTATATATAAAACGATTGTGCGCGAGGTGGCTTCACTACCGCACCCACCGAAGGGTAATAAACGCGTTCTCACTGCGGCGCCGTATTTTATTTTTGTATAATAATAATAATAATAATATTACACGATACGGTCGACGATTTTCCGTAATTATTATGTTCGATGAAAAAATAGGATTACCCAAAAATTTCGAGTTCGGAAAGACTGTCCGAAACTCTACGATTAACTTTATTATAAACGCGACGGTTTTAAATATTATTATTTATAAATATTATATTCAACACGCATTAAATTGCGTTAATTGTCGATACGGATCGATATAATATAATGCGATAACTTAAAATATCTACCTATATTTTATGATCGATATAAAAAAAAAAAAATAATAATAATAAAAAGAAAGGTCACTGCAGTGGACAGTGATTGCATTTTTCATTGTTAAAAACCTACGATTAATTAATTTTATCAATAATATCGAAAGAATTAGCAATAATCTTCGTATCGAGCATATTAATGTCGTTCACTTCTAGATAAACAACACATCGTATTATTATCTATGTTGCCTTATCCTTCAGCATTGAGACTCGTATTGTGTTAACGGAAGCATGGACAATTAAAAAAAAAAAAAGAATCCAACCACTGATGTCATTTCAACTATGATATCAATTATTTGATTCTGCAATATTTCCATACATATATTTTTATATTATAGATTTACTGTTTAAAAGGCTTATTCATTGGTTCGCCATAAAGGTTTTTTTTGCTCATCGCTGCTGACGGTCTACAGCAGGTTGTATATATTATGTACAGCTGTTGTTGTAGTACCTTGTACAATGTACATATTATAAATAAAGTGTCATCCGTCGCCTATGGTAAATAATAATAATAATAATAATATTTTTCGTTATACGCTTATGTACTTATGTTATTACAATCTCAATATTACTCTTTCTTGTATTGTGCATAATTTACAGACTGTGATAGACGAGATTGGTTTTTTGTAAATATATATATATATACACAATAAAATTAATTAATTAACTGACTGTGATACTTGTGTACAACATAATATAAAAGTATAATACAGCATGTTTTATACTCATCGACACCATCGTCGCTGTTGAAATTGATTTGTGTTTATACTTATAGGATATGAATTGTAAGTACATTAATACTACAGGCGAGGGAAAAATAGTAAATAATTACGCCATAAGTACTGCTGCGTTTGAATACATTTATTTTTTCACTAACACCATAATTAGTCTGTTTTTACGCCTTTGCTGTTTGGACTGCAGTTATTTAAAATCCAATTAGTGCTAACATCGAGAATAAATATTTTATAGGGATTTTATTTTTCGATCAGGTACATAATATTATGGAAGTAATGTGTATGTATAAGCTTTATTAATGGCAATGTTACGTTTGAAAGATAATAATAATTATCTGACTAAAAATAAAAATAAAAAAATGTTCCGACATTAATAAATGTAATAATTTATTTAACAATAACGAATGCTGTTTATTAGTGATTTTATTAAAGTTCGTATATCGTGAAAATAATAATTTAAAATAAACCACAAAGCCATTTTAAAAAAAAGCTCTAAGCTTCAGTTACTCGTACCAATTACTATATAATATTTATTATTTATAGCGATTTGTATCGATTATTGTAACGAAAAGTTTAGTTTTTAAATAATTATTCTATTAAAATATAAAATTCAACATAAAAATAAGCTTTATAAAAAAACCAAAAATTGATCTACTTGCTAAAACTGTAGGTATAGATAGAAAATAAATATGGGTATTATTGTGCAAATAGCACAAAATTTGTTAAAATCGATATTGATTTTTTATTTTTTGTTAAGCAAAAACCATTAAATTTTTGATTAAACTTCTCAAAAAATGTTTACTTAATAATATGTACTAAGTCTGTATAGACTATAAAAGGAAATTAAACAGAAGCAAAGAACACCCAACTATAGACATTTTATAGCTTTATATAGATCCGTATTTCATTGAGATACTATTAATACATATTTTTTGTTTTAAATTTATATTGGTTATTGAAAGTTTAAATTACGGAGTCGATTATAATAGGGGCTACCGTTTTTTTGCAGAATTGTAACGTTTCTTGTAACATTGGTACAAGCCAGATTTTATACGATACCCAAATATAGCAACAGTCTCTGGATATATCTAATATTTATTAATTTGGATAGGAATATGTAGATTTTCGTGTTTTTAACCGAAGAGGAATGAGATCAATAATATTAAAACGATTTGAATTGAAGGACGCCTGTAAAATATCTACCCCATACTCATCTAAAAAAAAATTGAAATGAACAATTTTGATACATTAAAAAATAAGTAATAATAATCATATTATATATAATATTAGGTATATACTTACGTAGATATTATAGGTATAATAATCATTATACCGTGACTAATAACAATAAAGTAAAACCTCGCGAGGTCGCGAGGTGGCTTGGACTGCGCTCCGGTAGACACCGAGTTTGAATTACAAGTTCATTAATAATAATAATTTTTTAATAAAGAAGTGAAAGAAAATCACAAAGTGGATAACGCTCGGCGTACCAAATATACATATTGTACACATTAGGTACTTCATGGGTTTCGAAACCCTCATAATATATGCGCCAGTTGACACTCCTTCGACCACACGATGGTCTATGTGCTGATGGAATTTTTTATGACGTTGGGCTTTTTCTAGCTAGCGATGTACTCATGCATATGTCATTTTTTATCGGGTTGCCTTGGTGTTCGTCGTTTTTTCCGGTATCTTACTGCAGTTTGAGGTGGTGATTAAAGAAAATAAGCGATTCAAAGTAACGGGTAAGATATATTTTTAATTGGTCTATTATAGTATTATGCAATTTACGGTGATAGAGGTGGCGACCAGAGCGTTCATTATAATACCTAACTAATAACCAATAGAGTAATAAATAATAAGTAATGATAACAAGGATAAAACATGTATACAATAGTTTAGATATTTAGAGATTCGGGAACCAACATTCATGCGAACGTCATGTAAAATGTTCAAAAACATTTTTTTTTCGTATAAGGCGATCCGAGGAAAATAAATAACTGATAAGACTTTTTTTTTAGAAAAAAAATATTATTGTTGTTTTCTTACTAAACATATTTTTTTAGTTACAAAAAAAAAATCTATTTAGTCTTACGTACACATTATTTAAAATAATATTACTGTTAAATACAATAATCTTATATAACTAAAAAAAAAAAAAAATTTAAAAATAATAAATGTACAACAATGACTTGTCTTAAAGTTATAAAATATTTTTAACAAGTATATTTAAACAAATTGTATTTACAGTATAGAAAAATCGGTAGCCTCTAAAAAATGAACGTGAAATTAACATAATATCATTTACATACATATATATTGTATTTATACTTATAAGTAATAACTCGTAAACAGTATATAATATAATATGTACGTACTTTTATGCGTATTACGGTTAGATACTTTTTTTTTTTTTTAATGGATGGAATTTTGAAAAAAATACGTAGTGGTACTTACGATGAAACTAAAACAATAGATTTAAATCATGCAAGTTAAAAATCTGCACATGATGAAATATTATTTAATATTGCTAATTAAAAAAAAAAAAAGGGAAGGAGCGAGTTAAAATTAATTATATTTTAAAAATTATCTGTGATTTTTTTGTGATTTTTATTTTTATTTTTATTTTTATATAATTATTTAATAAATTTAGCGCCAGGGGTGTGCCTAAGCGTTACTGTTAGCTAGGTCTAGACGCTACGCAGTGTAGGTATAATATTTTGTTGGAATTACGTATGGTGCTAACGGTATTTTTTTTTTTAAATCTTATTTTAAAAAATATATTGAGCTCGCTTAAGGCTCTAATCGCATTGGAAACAATAATAATTTTTATATAAATCAATAAAATTTAAGTACATTATTTAGTTAAGTGAACAGACAATACGTTTAACATACTAATAAAACTAAAAATACAAAGTTGATTGTATTACGCTAAGAGTGTGGGGGGGGAGATAATAATAATAATAATAATAATATACTTAGTGATAACCAAGTCTTATTGTCAAAATAAATACATGATAATAATAATAATAATAATAATAGTAAAAATAATCATAAAAATAATAATAATTATAATAGTAATAAAATAATCATGATATAGGTTCTACACACTATTATGAATAGCGTTATGTTTTGTAAACGTCACGACCGTGTATTGCTATAACGAAGCACCATAACTTTACCGTTATATGTATAATAATAAATAGCCACGCAAAAAAAAAAGAAATTAAAAAAAAAAGTTAAAAAAATAAAATAAAAACTGGAAAAATAATATGAAGCTCAACCTATCATATAAAATATTATGCCTAATCGGGTAGTATAATAACATATTATTTTCATATATTTATTAAAAAAAAATCTAACAGCTACATTATCACAGAAGATTGTAGATAAAATATGTATATATCGTTTAAAAATAAAAAAAAAAAAAAAGGTATGTATAATATTGCCCGTCGCTCGTGTCACGGTTATAGTTTAAAGCTTATGTAGGCAGTCTGTACATTAAAGTCTAATTATTATTAAGTACATAATATACATTATACATAATACTATAATATAATACGTACGACACGCGTACATACATTAGCCGTACATGATAATATATAATATTATGTATACAAACACTTATACAGGTGTGTATAATAAATATGAATCTGCATTAATAAAAAAAAAAAAAAAAAGAAGAAAATCCTCTTATACTATATTATACTTAACGACTATGACGACGACGACGACAATGACTGTATGATGACGTTTTTACCTTATACAATATTATATTATATTGTTATTACATTTTTTTACTTTTTTTTTCCGCGGCGGTGGGATGACTTGACACGACAGTGATGTTATATCATAACACAAATGCATATTATAATACAATACATATATATATATATATATATATATATTTATACGTATATATATATATATATATAGCGTGTACACGGGACGGGGCTGGTGTTTGCGGTGGCTGTGGTGGTAGTGGCGGCGGTTGTGTCGGCGGCATCTCGTACATAATATTATTATTATATGGTATCTCCTCCTTACAGGGTCGGGCTTGCGTTTAATTCGTTTGACAGGAGACCCTGGGCGATCGCGGTCTCGTTTTGTCTTGAGCTACTGCATTGCTGTGACAAACACAAAAAAAAAAAAAAAAAAAAAAAAAATAACATAAAAACAGTGTAATCGATGGTAAGTAAGTACCTATATTCTGACTCTCATATATGGTTATCACTACGACGTGGCTATAAACGTGAGATATGTTACGCGTTCGAGAGGGCACGAGTAAATAGTTCACACGAACACCCCAAACCGAGTGAACACACACACACATAAATGTTTAATTCGCGCTGATGAACACGGATCGAGGATTTAAAAATATTTTTTAAGTATGTTATGGTAGCTATATAAATTATAACTAGGCGAATCACTATTTTTCTGATAAACTGGTTCCTCCAGTTGTATATTATATTATGTGCCTACCATCCCGAGATCTGTCATTTGTCTTTGAACACATTATTCACGCGCACATTGTACACGAATTATCGCGCTTTGGTATAATATACGTATTATAATACGTACTATGTCTCTACACTGGCGTATAATATTAAATACTACGCGTACGTACGTGTATTATTGCGATATCGATTATTTGAGCAATTAAATCGGGTAGTTTGTATAATATATTATACGACACGGCGCGACAGATGTTCGCGTGATATGAGAAAAATCGATACTACAATACGTATACATTACACTCGTACTATAAAATAATAAACATGTGTATATTATATATATATATATTAGATATTAGTCGAAGTGGTAGTTAACCGAATAATTAACGATGACGTCGTCTCCGAACTGCATTAAAATATCGTACGCGTCTTAATTCCCTTCCTCGAGAACTTTTTCAATTACTCGACGAGTAGTTATCCGAATATAAGTATGTCCGAAACGCTAATCGGTGCTGCGAAAAGTTTTCCGTGGATTTCGATACAACGGTTTCTTGGCGTCAGTCGTCGCGCACGCGGTATCTTTTTGGCTCGTTCTCCGAATCAACCCTCTTTTCCCCACTGCCGCCCTCATGAAATTTGATTTACTGTCTCGCATAATAAAAACATCGTTTATACAGCGGCTATAACTTTAAACGTTATTAAACGACGAGTAGAATAATTTAAACAATTCCCTTTAAACACGAGTCGAGAATAATTAGATTACAGTGTTCGATAAACACGGAAAAAAAAATTCCCTCGCTCGGTAAAAGGCGTCGAGACGCTATAATAATAATAATAATAATAATAATACGTCGGATAGCGATAGCCGAAAGTAAGCTTACCCTTCCCCAAAAATCTATACCTTTCACACCATTCGGTCTCGTCCCGTGAAACGTTATCAAACTTTGTTTATATTTATTTGGTAATGGAGAGTAAAAGGTCTGCCAATCGATAAATTTCTCCACTACCACCGATATCGCATGTTTAAAGCGCGTTTCTTGTTTTTTTTTTTTTTTTTTTTTTTTTTTTTTTTTTTTTTTTATTATCAACCTCAGACTTCGCCTCTCCCACGAGCATACGTATGCCGACGAATTTATTTCATTATATCGCTATACCATACTTACAGCTTGTTTTTTTTCCCAAGATTTCATCGCGCTCTTGTACTTCTGGAACTCGTGGCACCAGTCCGAGTACACCCGATGGTAGTCCGCTGAGCGGGCCGGCGGCGAACACCGATGCGCGTCCACCGTCAAGTTGAACGTGCACAACAAGGCACCGGCCAGTTGACAGTCGTAACGGCCGCCGTCCTCTTCTGACGCTCCGACGATCACCATGCCCCCTTCGACGGTGGCAATGTATTTTTCCACTCGGCTGTAAAAGAAGAAAAGCACGTCTTACACGTCAGAACAACGAAAATATCGAATTCCGATAAAAAAATATTGAGAAAAAAAATTGACTTTTTTTTTTAACGTCGTCGAGTGGCGACTGACGCCGAGCACAACGCGATCTGAATACAATAATAATATATACACCGCAGAAGTCGCGGTATCCATCGTAAATACTATTATTATTCGATGGCTCGCGTTCGCCATTAATGCAACTACCTACGTATTCTGGTTGTCGAATGCTCTAATGCGGAAGTGGCTCTAATAACAACGCGATCGGCAGCGGGACGCAAGACGACGACGGTTCTGACGCAAGGACAACTCGGTTATCGCGGAGATGAGACAAGGGCGTAGTATAATTCGACGCGTACGTGAGCCGAGGTGGAAAATTAAGAATTATAAACGCGGACGACGACGTCGTCGACGGAGGTGGGCACCGGGCACGGCAGAACGATATGCGATATATACGGGTGAAGCGCACTGCGTAATTGGAGCCCGATCGTTATATACCCGCCTACCGGTCGTATTACAGCCGTTGCGCGAGCTGAACGCGAAACAATTGCCGAGAGCTGGGTATATCATCTCATTCGAAGGCACATAATAAATGTAAATTCAATTTCTTCGAGTGTACGGGGACCACGTATATTTCGGTTTATGATATAGTGTACAGTCGTCAGCGATTCCTTGGGAAAATATTCTCTTTTGCCCGAAGAGCTTCGCATTTCTGATTTAATTTCTTCGCAGAATTTCCTCGTCGCCCCAAGCCGCAGTCGTTTGAATAATAAACGATGTACTAGTATTATCATTATTATTATTATTATGGTTATACATTAACGACCGTCCCGAATCACATTTATTATTATTAAGTTTACCTGAACGAGACCATGTACCGTCCCTTCTCCTTGCTGTGATGGTACCAGGTGACAGGGTACACTTTTAGCACTTGCGGCATCTTCACGAAACAGCTGAGGTGTACGCTCTGGCCGAACGTTACGGTCAATCTCTTGTTAACCACCGAGCTTTCGCACACGCTTCGCGACGAGTTGGTCACGTCCTGCAAGAGTCTGCAAAAAACCACAACCACAACGAACGGTCATCGTTATATATTAATCATCTCCGTAATATGATATATTGACTTACCCGGGCTGGTAGGGTTTGCAGGTCTTGGTCTGTTTGTCCCATCCACAATACGGGTCGTGGACGCATCGCAAGCAGCTGTCGTACCGGTGAGTGCACATTGACAAGTATATCTGTCGGACGCTTTCATCGGACGCCACATACAGGGCTTTGTGCTGGAAAAAAAAATGAAATATATATAAGTAATATTAGAAACATGAGCTGTGTACATAATAATACAATAAAACATTCTATATCGTGACTCCGAAACGTATACTAAGTCATTATTGTATAACGGTGACTAAACAAGCGAGGGAGGCTATCTAAATTAACAATGCTATTTAATTAATTAATTTTTAACTAATAATAAATAAGACACCAAATGCTGTTTCAATTAAAAAACAATTTTTGACTAAATCGATTGCTATAATCAAAAAATGAATTAATTTAGATATTTGAGTTTTTTTATTGTTTTGTTTTTTTTTATTAATATTGACTAAGATTGTTACGCTTATAGCCAGAAGTTTTTGAAAATTTAATAAAAAGTTTCTTTTAAGTTGCTCTTACAGAAATTTAAATATGTCAAAAATAAGGAAATACATACTCACAATGTTTATTATAGATATTTAAAATTCAATTTTTTAACGAAGAGTAACGTTTTTAGTTTTTATTGTTATTTAAAAAATATTGTTCGTAGAAACTTGCAACTTTTCATATTTGTTTATTATTACTCACTATATTCCATGAAATATATTTAGTTTATTTTTAAGTCAACTATGCCACGATTTTATTCATACCGTTCTACAGTGCGTTTTATGCAATAGCTAATAAGATCAGTGGCGTGTTTATGGAGGGGGTGGGTGTTGGGGGTTACGAAAATGCATTTATAATATAGGAACGATCTAAAAAAAAAAATCGTAGAAAGTGTAGTTTTCACAGTTGCTGAATAAAATTCTTTTGACCTTTTTTTTATTTGCTGTCTATGCACCCCTACCCATGGAAAATGTCTGGATCCACCCCTGTCACCCCGCCCCTCCCAAATAAATTTGTAAATACTCCACTGTAATTGGTATTGATTTATAAATAAGTAATAACTTGTATAAAGCTTATATAAAGTTCATATAAAATAATATGTGATTATTATTATTATTTTTTAAGCTAATTAAATTAAAACTAATTTATAGTTTAAACTAATTACAATAAGATAACCTTAGGCCTATAGAATGTCTCTGCTTTAAATTGTTTTTCAATGTATTCAATGATTTATTATTTAATTTAAATGTAAAAAACCATTACGGTACCTACTCAATAACGAGTGACACTTGACATCGGCTATTTTATAGCAGAGTGACTTCCGGGTCTTTCCAAACACGAAAATAAATTTCGAATAAATTATTATTATTATTCTGTCACGGTGTTTAGCTATGGGGATGCACTACAATCTCAAATACATCTCTGACGAGCCATTGCGGTTAACGGAATACTAGAGGGTTATGTATACCACGGTACACGTGTTATAATGACGCGATGTTATCGCGAGTGCAGTCGAGTGCGAATAACGTTTGGCAAGTCCTAAACAAATATACGGCTGGGTATCACTGTAGCTAGTGGCTGTTGCTGATTGGGCTTTATGAGATTTGTATACATTTTCGCGTGCCAAAACTCGGCAGCGGCGGTGATACTGCTGCGCTTCTCTAATCAATCGCACAGCGTTCGGGGAGTACAGGGACGCGCGCACATTAATCATACGTGTACCACAAAAGGTATTTACCGTGTTTAAATATTATATATGTATGTCTATTTATTGAGACGGGACGGAATTCGATTTCGTAGTCTGTGTGCTCGAGGCACCACCACAGCCGACACCGGAATACATTTGTAATAACAATAATTTTAAGGTCGCAGTCGCAGACCGAAAGTGTTGACGGAATCGCGGTGACGCGCGGAAAACGAGGAGACCTGCAATAATTGGTTAGTTTGAGAGACGAGGAAACACATTCTTCTTCTCCCTTGACAACTACCCTATCCCATTCCGCGCACGCAGTCATACAACAAATCACGACTGACTGGTTAACTATATAATATATAACCAGTATTAGATATACGCCATTTACAGGTTAATTTACTATACCGGTGCCTATATAGTCGAACACTACCAGAAGAGTAATAGACACTGGGCGTCTTTCCCCTTACGCCCGCGAATCGATGAGTCACGTTGCCACTGTTGTTTGCAGGCTCGTTAACGGGGGATTACTAATCGTTCAGATACGATCATTAAAAATGAGAGTGGAAATGCGGCGGTGAGGGTTCCTTAGCTACACGGCAGCATCTGATGAACCGTAAAATGGTTTTTAGCGCGGAAGTATTTTGTAAAATTACCTCGTTTTTGTGTTTTCTACGTGTCAAATTTTATACGCTGAGCGATCGAAATTTAAATGCCTAGGTCGCTCGTCATTGACGCAACGTTAACCCAACGGTATTGCGGTATCGGCTATTTCGACGGGTTTTTAAAATGGTTTCGGATTTCGTCTAACCATAGTTACCCCGTTTTGTTATTTTTAAATTACGGTTCGTTATCTGGAATGCACTTATAAAATATATCGTTTCGTATATACGAAAACGCACCCTTCACGACGCGGTAGTTATACTATTTACTTTATTATTTATATATTATACATAGTTTCCGGTGTCAAACGCCATATGGGTATTGGCTTTTGTAAAATCAGAATCAAGTGTTACGCGCCAACGCCCAGAGGGGTAGAAATACTCCCTATTAAAATGTACTCATGTATTGTACATGCACGTATCCTTCAATACCACGTACTTGGATGATAAATAACGAAGGTAGCTTAAATATGTGCAATAATGAAGAAACAAACCTTTCTAGATATTTCCATCGCCGTGATGGGCAGACCGGGCATGATGTCAAATATGTCCAGAAGAGCAGATCCGGGTACACCTTCATCGTTATACCATTGGACTACTTTGTAAACGCGGCCTTCGTCTGTGAAAAATGACAATTAGACGAACAGTGTTAGTATAGTAAAAAAAAAAATAAAAAATGAGAACGATAAAGCGTATTGTACATATTGATAGGAACTCGCGAGGGAAAATATAAACGATAATATTATTAATATTTTATTTTTTTATTAGAAGTAAGGCTTTGACATCGCAGATCGTTAACCATTTATACACATACACACACAAACACACACACACACACACACACACACAACCAACCATATCAGCGGGATTAGGTAAATTATATTTTATGTACAATATTTGAACAATATTATGATAGGGAATTTTAACTTACTGGTAGCAGCATAATACACGGTGTAGTGTAGATGATTTCCAAACACGACGTAATCGAGAACGTCTACTACGAGACGCGTGAAGAACAAGTCACGCATGTAGAACACCGGTTCGTTGTCTTTGTGCGCTACCGCCTCGTCCATGAGAGGGTGACTGCGTATGAAATTCAATACGGAATCTAAACACGACAATGATGATATTAAGCGAGTGGAATTTACATAATATTATCAAATAAAATCGTACAAAATATGTACTCGCGTGTACGTTTACTACGCATATTTTGGTATATTTTTTTTATCACTATTCATTATATAATATCGCTGTAATAACGCTTACAAAGTTTCAAAAATTATTTATTTTATTTTTTCAAATGCGTTTTTTCATTAGTTATTTGCGATTGAAAACTGCATTCACATCTGATCATGTCGATTTAAACCGATTGGTCATAATGTTTACCTGGCAATGTCTCCGTGTCGTTGACGCACTGTCCCGGTCTGGGCTCCGGTACCTTGGTAGACAGTACTGGGAGCCAGGCCGAAGTGGAACTGGCTTGTTCCTTGAATCGGCCAGCAAACGCGTGATCGATGTCCTCTAACCGGAATGTGCATATAGCCGATCCCATCAGCCCGGTAGTGGAAGTGGTGAACACGCCGTAGAAAAGTGTATCGTCATCCGGCACTTTGTAAATGCTCTCTACAACAGAAAACGTTAATTTCGATTCCAGTCTAACGGTGGACATGGATATAATGCTACTCACGGATTTCGTTGAAGTAGAACGGATATTCTCCGGGTATGGAGCAGTTGAGCCGGGCCTTCAGGTACGTGGCCCAGTTGTGGCTAAGTATGCTTTTGCCGCCTGTGTCCTTCTTGCACACCCTGGCTACGCGCGAAAAAATGCTCTTGCCACAATTGATGTACTCGACGGCGGTTTCGCGGAAGAAGAAGAAGACATATTGGCCGATGTCGTAGGAGCCCACAAAATCGGGTTCTACGAAAAAAAAAAAAAAAAAAAAAATTGTTTAACCAACATCGCTGATGTACTCGTTGTAAATAATTCGTGGTATTTCATATACTGTGTTCGCAAATAATACAATATATTATTTATTAATAATATACTTGATTATACGAGAGGAGATGGATAGAAAATCTGAATAATATTATTACGATCCACTGAAAGTTTCGATATTCTCGTACATAGCAATATCGATGTAGGAAGTGTGACTGAAAGAGTAGAGTTGAGTTACGTATAACATCATAGGTGATGCGTGTATACGTATATTCGTTTATTAAAAGTTTGTGTGATACACTCGTGTCACACGGCGCACACACATTATACAACGTGTACTTATACACGACGTGTTCGCATCCATCACGAGCCGCGTTCAAACTTATTTCGCGGCTTAATTATACTCGTCGTAGTAGTTATAAGCAGAACTCGGCGGATTTAGAGGGGTTAAAACCCGCGGGAGAGAGATCGCACGTCTGTTTAGGTGGAGTGCATATACGCGTATACATAATAATAACATACGCAAGCAGACAGTGACGATTTTCGGGGCGACAGCTGTGCGGGCGGTGGCATACATACAGTGGCCTTTGATACAGTCAATTCGTTTACGCTCCGCCAAGCGTGTGACAGTTTTTTTTTTTTTTTTTTTTTCGGGCTAAAGGGTGCGAGCGAGCGTTATCTTTCGGGAAGTCAAAAAATATGAATCACCGAATAAGAGTGGTGGACCTACGTTATACCAGGACTAAGTCGACAGAAGATATACGAATATATATGGGGGCGGTTGGTCGGCGTGGAATCCGTCAAAAGTTATACACCAGCGGCATCACCGGCGGGGGCGGCGGCCAATAATATTATTCGTCGTCGTCGTCAAACGCGCGTATAGGAAACACATACGAGGGGAGAATAATATATAATATTACAGACCGTTATACTTTTGGTCGGAATATATATATATATATGTATATAAATTATTTTTGTCCGCGACACGCACATATAAATATATTATAGAAGAGCACCTCGGGCGAGTACGTTTCCGCACGGCAGATGATATACTGTTTTAATCAGTGGCGACCGAGTCCGGTGTACGGTACGCCGGGGAAAGAGGCGTTTACAGCGATCGAAAGTCCTTTGAAACCGGCACCGAGTGGATCGTTATCATATCATTATGCGCTTTACACGGGTTTTTACTGCGAAACGATTATCGCGCTAGTGCGCGCGAGTATAAACAAATTTCCGTACAGAGCTGCACAGCTTGCGGTAAGACTGATTAATTTTATATTTAAATGCGCGTCGCACGCACACACGTCACTTTGCGCCCGGGTGGCGAAGTTTACGGTGATCGTGTTTTTAAATTTTACGTGAGTATCGTAGGTATATACGATATGCGTCGTATATTGTCGCGCGAACGTATAAATAGCAGAAAAATAACTTAATGAACTATCTGTTCGCGAAATACGCAGCTCGTGTTATTACGTTAATACGTTTTCGTAGCCGGGCTGTGGGTGAAATTGCTATACACGAGATGGAACCAGCAATGGGGCGGGAGTAGAATTAATCCGGCATATATCTATATAACATATACACACGAGAATACGAGGTAGAAGATTCCGAGTGGATTGAAATAATAAAACTGCGCACCGCGTTGTTTACGATACAAAAACGGAAGTCGATTTTATGGCTCACACACGTATTTACGTGGCGCATGTAGTAATATATAATAATAATAATAATAATAATAATATATATACGCGCGTGTGCGTGTAATCGATTGTGGAGGAATTTGACTTTTCGTTTAAAAAGTTTTTGCGAATACCGAAAGCCAAAATATGTCCATTCGGTCTGAAAAAATACTCGAGCGTTGGTAATAGTAACTTTTTCCCCCTCTTGAATTGAAGACTCGTCAGTGGTACGGAACAATAAATAAACAGTTTTTCCATGATAATCTTTGAATTGAAATAGTTTGTTTTCCGTTTTGACGGTATAACTCATTCAAGTGAAAACTTTGCGGTTTTGGACTTTTGCACATACTGTTATATTTTTATTTCCTAACCGATGTGTTGAATTAATTAAAAATTGAAACTTCCTGTTTTACGTCTGTCAGAGGTTTTTAAAAAAACTAATATTATTAAATGGATATTTTAAAATATAATATGTTTAACAGTCGTAAACATTCTTTGACAGTTATCATCATTATTCTTGTGAACCCCTATAGAAATTGATAATTTTCTCAGTCATGATTAAGGTTTAGCCCTTTAAATACGAACTCGTTTTCCATTCGTCCAAACAGACGAATCGATAAACCTCAATATTGGTCGTACCGAAATTATATAATAGACAACTTTATTTCGTTAAAATATTTGGCAACTAGCATGTTAACTTCGCATTTCAAGATAATTCTGTTTTATTTAATTTGTTTTTCTACAGTAAATAGATACTTTAAGTAAACAATTTAGTTTAGAATTAGTTTAATCATTTGTATATTGATTATTTAGTAGGTATTATGTTGTTACACGTATAAAAGAGTAAAGACTATAGGTACTGTGTATCTCAATTGATTTTTCAGCTGAATTTTATCGTCGTTGAAAAACCGCTTTCACGAGAAGATTAACTTTAATAGTCGTCTCACCTCGATTTTCTTTCAATCTCTCCGAGCATTAACATAAGTAACTATTCATAATCTACCAAGAGGCTTTTGAATCAAGTATTGACTAAGGTAAATTGATAGCCGCATTTAATCTAAGTCTGATGCATTTTTAATAAGTTCAAGTACATCTAAAACTTCCGTTCAGCCATCATTATTATTAGACCATAACTATAACTATTATCTTTCGAAAATCCTCTTTTGGCCCGAAGGGTATTAAGACTTTCATTATCGCGTTTATGGGATAATTCGAAAAACGTGTCCCTAATTTACCGGGTTTTAACTCCAATTAAATACAGTGAAAGAGGGAGAATAAAATAACTTGTTAGACGACTGTTGTTAGTGCAAAACAATTTTACTTTTGAAAATTCAAAAAAAGTATTTGAGTCGATGGGTTTTATTTTGATTTTAAAGAATAGTGCTTTTATCAAGCTTTTACGAATTCGATATTTTATTTCTCAGTTGTGATATAAAAGGTAGATATTTATACATAAAAACCCTATATTATATACATCCCAAGGTAACACATTAAAGGCGAATAATGTCAAAGTTCTATTTCAAAGTTTTCTAGCAAATAAATAAATAAATTTATAAATATTTCATAACTCTTTAACGAATATTATTATTTTTTAAATAAATAGGTATATATATTTGTTAATGTCGTTCTTTCCATATAGAATAATGTTATTGATTAAATCGACCATTAATACGCGATAAAAGCTATATGACATAAGTTTATATTCGTCGTCCACGCTGTAAGATGTGGCGAATTGTTTTGAAAACCGAGCGTGATCTTCTTTGTAATTGTCTGTCGCTCGTGAGTCGTGGGAAAAACAATTGAAAATCGAGAAGAAAAACAAAGAAATTATACAGTATCATTTTTCAATTTCTTCGTACTACTCGAGGGATACGCGCCGCAGGGGAACGAAACGTTTGTGGATTTCTACTTAAAATATTATATATATTCTGCTAGACGTTATTATGGGTCGAATCAACCGGTGCTAGAAAAGACGGGCACGCACGCTTTTCGTTCCCCCCCCTCAAAACTCAAACCCGGGTAAAAAGCGACGTTCGTCGTGGTCGTCGTCAGCCGATGCCGACGCCGCCGCCGAGCAATTTATCACCCGCTGCGCGCTGTCACGTCTTGTCAGTTATCCGCGGCGACGGATTATACACACGGCCGCGGAGACCCGAGAGAGCCCGCATTACCACGCGAGCACACAACGCATACACGCTCATATTATATATTATACACCAGACGTGGTCGGTCGGTTGGTGGGGTTCTTGAGATGTTTTCGACTTTTTCTCCGTTTCGTTTTCTCTCTCTTCCTCTCTGTCTTTCGACTCAAACTTCTTCGCCCTCCCAGAATCCCAGAAAAAGTCACTGCGGGCGTTTTATCCCCAGCCGTTATACGTGTTTGCGTTTCGAAATAGTGTAGGTTCTTCTCTCCTCCCCCCCCCCCCCCCGCCCCATAAGCCGGTACACGACCCCAAAGGCAGTGAAGCACCGTAAGTATATACGCGTGCCAGTCATTTACATATCATAACATATATATATATAAGAAAAAACTTAAACCCTAACACGCGTCGTAAAAGCGTCGGCCAACTCGCGTATTGGCTTATATATCACGTCTATAGTATACGCATAAACTCGATATATTATAATGGGTGTAGGTGTATAAAAGCGATTGACATAAACGCAGTAAATATACTATTATTATTACAATTTTATACAATATTTACGACGATACGATTATTACGACCAGGCCAGAGTCCGATATATACGTGCACGATGGCGTATTTTTTTGGTCGCCGACAGATCTATTCGTTGTTTTCGATACATTATAACATGGGAATTAATTAATACGACATAATTTATCACGAGTAAATATGGCCAAAATACGTTGCTTTATTATATACACTCACTATCGAGCCAGTTGGAGTCGTATTTGAGCGTCCTCTTGAACGCGAACTCCTTGCGTCCCGTGGTCAAATTGTACAGGTCCGTCCGGAAAATAACTGTGTCTGCTTTCGTGAACTCGGCGTTGGTACCACTATACAGAGCCGGCAATTGCCCCGGATTGCCCTTTTCTGACCAAATGGCCGTCGAGTTGTCTAGCGGATCGTACGGACATTTAGCCGTGCCCAGACCCACGCCGGGCACGTACTCGTGTCTAGGAAGATGTGTCAAATTGGACTGTGCGTGAAAAGTGACAAAAACATAAAAATTAGAAAGATAGTGTTATAGATTACAGTACAGATATGTTCTGGTAATATACTCACGTAAATCACGTAATCCTTTGGATTGTGCGCGTTTGTGCCGCAAATGTATATTCGGCTACCGTCACCGATCGACTGGATGACTCTGATGTGATTTCGGCAATCGAAATTCTGTGGAAGTAAAAAATAAATATATAATATATATATACATAAATGAGATTTAAATTTAAATACGGCTGGCCGCGCGAAATCAAGGGCTCGAAAGACTTTGATAAATGTTAAGCCCGGAGAGACGAATCACAGCGATAGCGTAGTCTAATTAAATTGTCTTTGGGTCAAGCGCAGAGTAGAACAATAAATGAACAAAAGTTTATTCAGATGTATTAAAGGAAACCGAAAGTTTCATAAACATGACGAGAATTAAGCGAGTGAATCTAGTGGACGAGAAGAAAGGAAGACAAATGGTAACGGACCGACGTCGGGTTGAGTCCTTCGAACGCGGATCACGAGTAGACAGTGCGTCGCAGGCCACTTTGTTTGATTGGGGTGGTTGGACTGCATAATTATGTTGACAACTCTAGAGTTTTTTCTATTCTCATTTTTTTTTTGATCGCGCAAATTCCATGAAATTTAAACGTTATTAATTATTATTATCATTTAATTCGCTATTTCTAGTATTTTTTATTTGTAGGTACCATTTTCCGTCGCAATAATTTATCTACTTGTGTTTGGATCAAATATCGATAAAAGCTCTAATCGATAGTATAGATAATATTTTAACATTAATAATTTAGGCACTTTGTACCGATGTAATGTAACACAATATCATATAATGTACATAATTTTGAACACTTGAAAAATAATAATTTCATTAAAAGTATTTAATATCACTTGGAAAATAGGTTTTTGTTTAAAAAAAAAAACTAAAAATAAAAGTCCTTATTATAATAGTCCTCTGAGTTAAAAAAAAAAAAAAAATGTCGATTTTCTACTTCACATATTAGTGTAGCTTTCAAAAGCTTTTATGCCATTAACGTTATTATTATGATTATTTTTTAATTTTTTAAACAGACATATTTTCTCCAGTGAGATTATATATTATTTTTTCACTATGGAATAAGGAGCGATACTATCTTTTGGAACGCTATATGTATTATAAGACTTTTAAATCTGATAATAGAATACCTATCACATTGTGTTATTTTTTTTCAATAACGTATCATTAACTTATTTTATTGCGTGATATATCTAACCTACATTTAATAGCATTTCAGTAATTCGTTGCAGCAAACATAAATAACAATTTACATTAGAATATTTGAAAATATACTTAAAAAAATTATAAGGTTCTCGTATATTCGATTAAAAATATTTTCAACTTTTTTATTATTTTTATCACCGTTGTCCAATATGCATATTTTAACACATTTTTAAAATTTAAATCGACAATAATAATATTACACTAATAAAGTAGGCGGTATTTCGAAAACGTTCGTATCAAAGATATTATTATAACTCGAGTGGAACATTTACATTTTATAAATGTATTCGGACGAGAGTGAGTTGCGAAACAAGGTGATATCAAAATAAACGGTAAACAAAACACTTCTCAACAGGATAATTTTAATAAAAATAAAATTAACGAGAAATATCGTCGTGATATTCTATGCCGTATTGCCGAATGTTATATTTTGGAATATACCCGTCAGTCGGCTGTGTGTGAGGAATAATGCTCTGTAACGATTTATGGACCGAATCATCCAGATACAACGGTGAAATAGACATCGTTGCTGAAATAAGTAAAAATACGCCCCAACGCGTTTGTCACACATATGATACACACGTCATGCCCCCGCATAACAATTTTCTTTCGCAATACGAAATTCGCTGAGACAAACAATATTATGATATTATTATTTAAATAGGTATATGCACGAAAACGAAATTCGACGAAAGTACCCTCGTCGTCCGTGCTCGGGAACGCGTATGATAATATAAAAATATATACACGCGCCTACGTCACATATTTTATTATTCAGTAAATTTCCGTGCGCGTCCACCACTGTGACGAGACGCGCCGAATCTCTCGGGGGAAATGGCAATATATATATATATATATATATATACACATACCTATACATAAACATAGGTATACACATCTATAGAGACCGAAGTTAAACACAATAATGGGCGGTTTCAGCAGCGTAACTTCGTTATTGATAACGTTTCGTATATATTTATATCAGTGGCATGCGATGGTGGTAAAACGTGGGGGTGAGCGTTAAAAAAAAAAAAAAAAAGTTATACGAGTATAATATACAAAATATCTATGTATATATAATACACGTACTCTGCGTGCAGCGTTGTAATATTATCATGTTTTGTTGATCGATACAAGCGGTGTCAGATATAATTTCGTGTTTCGTAATATTGCTATCTACAAATTCGAACCAGGAAAAGCATTTTTGACGACAATATGACATCGTGGTCACCCCCTCCCCTTAAATTCAATAATATTGTCAATCACTACGCAGTACGCGACGATATCAGAGCGGGCTTACGGCAAAATGCCTCCTACAAAGAGATTTATTACGTGTGTTCCACTAGATATTATTTGTTTTCGTATAATATTTACATACTGTGAGCAGCCTTTTATAAATCCGCGTACAATCAAAGATCACGCATTGCCACTTTAATTATATTATTTCTACCGACTTTCGTTTTTCAGTTTTATACGCTTCGGAAAAGCGTTTGAGTTATTCACATACCTCGCTCATCGCCACTTATAAGCATTGATTTTTAGGTATAGAAACGAAGCAGTTATATACCACAAACTGTATATTAGAGGCTTTTTTTTTTTATTATTATTAAATAGGACTGGATCTGTGATACACTTTAACATTGTTGACCAAAATTGTTTGAAGAGGAAAACACGATGCGATTGGAAAGGGAGAAAAATTGTTTCATTATTTCATTTCACCATAATTAAAAAAAGGTCTAAAAATCATTTTAGATTCTAAGCGTAGTGATGAATGTATTAATTTTGCAATGATATGTGTTTTATTATTTTTTTGTTATGTGTCTCGAAACTTTTTCTAGTAGAATCAATGTGTCGATCATACACTACTTCGTTAGAGGTTATTTGTAGAAAATTGAATTTATTTTATATTTTTAGGAGATTAAAATTGGAAATTCTCTGTTCAATTTAAGATAATCCGAGGAGGGAGAACAAACATTTATTAAAATTTTAATATTATTATCAAAATAACTGTTTGGTAACCTTGGTTACCATAAAGTTAAATCATCTTTGGAGTTATTTACTGTAAATTATAGCATATATTATCTAATGTTTATCATACAGATGATTTAGATATAATATGTAATATGTATGTACCTATAGTTATTCAAATATACAATAGCCAAATAGTGTGCATGAGTTAATATTATTATTTTTCTTTCATTTATAGGAAAATAAAGTCCCCATTTTTACTTATTTACTTGCTTTATTTATTTTAAGTAAATATAATTTATCGTAAAGTATAGTGAAAGATGGCAAAAATATAGTGAACATGGCTGTTATTAGCATATAAATGTAAGAAGTATACAAATATTAGAGATTTAGCCACCCAAAAGATATTATACAAACAGAAGTTATTATTTCTAAAATAATATATGCTTGAATTAGATAGACAGATACAAGAAACAAAATAACAAAAGTTCTAATTGTCTATATCGGTAGACATGTTAAAATTATTTTAATGAAAATTAAAAATATATTAAAGTAATGACGTAAAAAGTGATCCAAAAAATGTCAAATTACAATATCTGCGTTAAATATTTTTTGCAATCAACTAATGGCCGTCGTTACCTATTTCTGGTGTTTCCATTTCAAAAAGTCATTTATTTTCCTACCTTTTTTTTCATCAACAGTAAGTTGTAGTCAACAACACTACAAAAGAAGTATGTAATTAAACATTTTCGTTTAGACATGCTTTTTTTCCACCTGAATGGAAACTCCTATCGCATTGATGGTTGAAGATGGCTTTTTGTACCTTTCCAATGGCGTACCATTAACACCGTAAGCGCATAAAGTACAAGTGAAATTTTCAAAAATAATTTAACGGTTATTCGATTTTATTTTATTTTCTCTATCAAAGAAGAAAGAAGCGTTAAGTTTTTTTTTTATAATAGTATATATATATATATATATATATATATATATATATATATTTAGTTCTAATTTCTAAAGCACATTTTATTATCTTCATTTTTTCTACTACAATTTAAAAAGATATTTTTGCTAAAAATAATTATTTGTCCACATAAATGATGTATTCTGTAAAGACTACAAAATCTTTAGTGACTTAAAGTATATAATACAAAAAGTGGTATGGTATTCACAGAGGCTTTATTTTGACGATGAAAACGAGTGGTTTTTATTTCATTTTATTAAAAAGAGTAGGTAATAACATCCGAACAAATAAATTTAACAACAGAATGGTGGTATTCAATTTGATGACAATATCATTATATAATATAATAAGTAATACAAAAATGTTGATAATAGGTGGAAAACATATTTTTACTCGACTAATTAATTTGATGCGTTCACAATGGATAAGTAAAATATTTTATGGTATATAAAATATTCATATTAATTTCAAGTACACATATAAATAAAAATATATACTAATACACTCATAAACATATCTACCTTGAACTATTATCCATCGTAATATATTGTGTAGGTACTCGATTCAATTATGTCAATATGATGGATGAAACCAAAATAATAATAATAATAATAATAATAAAATGTACAATTGATAAGGAATAAGCGGAAAAAAAATGTAATACGGAAAATTGTTTTCATATTTGGTAAACATATTTTTAATTTGTTCGTCGTTCAATAAATTTCGGTGTGTTTTTTCACATAATGCAAGGGATGGTACGTACGTATATATGGGAATAAAATACAATTTATTCGATGATATTTTTTATTATTATTATTACCTGTACAGTGGTCGCACGGGAGAATATTTTTGGCGGCAAAAACGGAAAATTTCAATAATGTTTTGACCTCTACTGAATAATATACGACCTCGGGGTCCGGCCGGGCAATCGTAAATAATAACTCGGAAAATTATTATCATTGCTTTCTCTCGCGCCCG